ACACACACACACACACACACACACACACACACACACACACGCACACGCAGACACTCGTCTTCTCACTCGATGAAAGCAAAACTCACACGCACACACCCCCAAGCCGCCTTGATGATGGATAGTGTCTGGTAAGTTCATAGACGGGTTCTATGTGCATCTACCACTGCGTCCTTATATTCTGCCTTCAGCAGACCAGTCAGCTAAACGAAGCCGATCCATACGCAGACCAGCCTGTAGCAGCGATGCGATGACGCGTCTGGTAGATGCTAGCATCAAACATTTGTGTGAATTCCTGAGACAAAAGATCTGGCAGGAAACCTAGCGCAGAGCACTTCCCACCACAAACGCACGGTGAAATACCGTTTATTCCATCCATCGTGCCAGGYCGTCAAGAGCTGATTTCGCCACGTGGCCGACAAATCTCCTCCCTCCCAAATAAGCATGCAAATGRTTGGCTGGACCTCGTATAGAGTCGTTATACGTCTGAGGCATACGCAAAGAAGGTCGTGCAGATCCCGCGAACGAATCGCGCGCGAAAGCGGCGGCGGCACCCCGATCTCATCGCAAGCAAGACCCTGCCATTGTGAGCGACGGCGGGTCCAATCCGCCCGGCACCCAATGCGCGCCGCCACGACCTTCGCGCCTCCCGCGCTTAACATGTGGCAAATAACCGCATCAGCAAAAAATTAATCTCCTTACAGCTATCTGGTCGTCACCTGCTCCCCATTCCCCTTTGGTTATCCCCTTGCCCTTCTGCTTCTCTGCTCTGCTTTCCTGCCAGCAAGGGAGGAGAAAAGCAACAAGAGCTCGTGTTCGATCCAACGGAGTAAAGATGTCCACCGTTTCATCGAAAGGAGCAGAGATCCCCGTCTTTACTCGACCAATGGGCATTCACCGATTGTTCTGGTCGATCGCTTGTCTCATGGAAGCACTCAACCCGCATCGAACGGAGCGCAGGCTAATCTCCTTGAGTTCAGCAAATACGTTCTCACAACCAAAGCAGAAGCGTGCATGCACGTGAACGAGTTACTCTGCATGCTCACTCTGCTCTCTCTCTCTCTCTCTCTCTCTCTCTCTCTCTCTCTCTCTCTCTCTCTCTCTCTCTCTCTCTCACACACACACACACACACACACACAC